AATAATAATAATAATAATAATAATAATGTAAGTGGTATTTGGTAAGGCGAAATTTCGGCAAACGTCAGGCCAGTCTCCAATTTCTTCTCGGATGAAGGCTGGACCTTTCCACCACATATGGTTGATCAAGGTGTGCTTATCTGCTCCTCGGGTAGCGATATCTGCTGGATTGTCATTGGTGTTAATGCATACAGAGTGTACTGGTGCTGCGATATCGGATACAATACGTTTTCCTTCAGAGGCGAGAGTTTTACTCTTTCGACGAGGAGATTGGCTTCTTCGCTGGATACGAGGTATGCGCACGTTGCCATCGCTTGTGTACTGGCATCCGAGAATACAACGAGCTTTGAGTGCTTCCCAATTTGTGCAACTCTTCTGGGTATGGTGTGGTGGAAATTTTCGACTGCTTCAGCAATGGAGCTTCCATTGTTGTTGATGCTCTCTCGGCAGTGTTTCGTCCCACTGATAGTTGAATTTCCACAGTTGTTGAAGGAATCTTTTTCCAGCCAGTGTCAATGGTGTAAGCCATCCTAGAGGATCATAAATAGCGGCAACTTGTTCCGAGACTGATCGTTTTGTGATAGTCGCCTTCTTTGGAGACTGCAGGCTGCACGAGAGGGAAATGTCATCGTTTCTTGTGTTCCATGTGATTCCAGTGACTTTTATTTCTTCAAAATGGCACAGATCCATGGATGCAATTTCGTTTTTCAAAGGACTGTTGTTTGATTGAAGTGTCGTAAGTTCATGTTGAGCTCGGTGAAGATTCTCTTCGTGTCTTTGTAGATTTTCAAGGCTTCATTCGTTGAAGATGCTGTCAATATGAGGTTGTCGACGTAGATATTGTCTTCTATGTTCTTTGCTAGTTCTTTATCTTCTACCATCGTCTGTAAGTGATGACTGATTGTTCCAGCAAGCAGGAACGGTGAGCAGTTCAGTCGGAAGTGGCGCGAGTGGTTGATATATGACGATGCTTTCTTGAGTAGGTGGGTCATGAATGCTCCGAATCCACATAAATCTAGTTGCATCTTCCCGATGAGTGTAGGCGAACTTGCAGAAAGGCTTTCTCTACGCTGCTGATGATTGCTGTTTCTCCTGTTCCGAAGCGAAGTAAGATGTCGCACAACTCGCAAGGATAACTGGACCTTGATTCAAGACGTCGTTGAGCGATGGACAATTCTTAAGGTGTGCAGATGCATCGAATACGATCCTTAGTTTTGTAGTCGTTTTTTGAGGAGTAATGACTGCATGATGCGCTAAGTAGTGCACGTTTGTCCTTCAAGACTTCGCTCTTCACTGACTTCTTCGATTATTCCCTTTTCCAACTGGTTCATGA